CTTAAGTTTCGTCGGAACGAAGTTACGGAAAATCAATTAACAAACGGAGACGTAACAATATATTCAAGTAGGTTTTAAAACGTTATTGAATATAATAACGTTTTGGTGAAGCATCTGAACTACTTTAAGATGGAACGTAATTGTTTAATATATTATCTAAACTTCGTTTCCAGACAGCATCTAAGATGGTTTAGACGATATGTAATGAATTTTTGGTTTCGTATTCGTTTATTCTAACTTGAATTTTAAAAGTTCTGCTATCTCGCAGAAATAACTAATAAAAATTGTCTGCAATTGACCTATCTACAAGATTCAATGATTTGCGTAACATATTTTTCTCATTTTTATATTTCTATAAATTCTCATAGAAATGTTATTATTTCTTTTTTTTCCTTTTCTACGATTTTATCTCTCGGTTAAATTTGCCATTTTCAAAGACATCATCATATCTCCCAACAATTCCCTATATTTTTACTTTTGTAATTATTTTTTGTATATCAAATTTCATTTTTATGTAATTAGAATTTAAAACCAAATTATATTTAACGCATTTATATTTAGATTATATTCTAATACGTAAGAAATTTTGTCTTTAACGAGCACAATGTCCCTTGAGTTCTGAATTATCGTCCCCCAGTAGGTCAGCACTAAGTTTACGGACTTACAATGGTAAAATCCGGGATTTGATTACCTATCGTGTAGCTTTGCACTAAAACAAACAAAATCACAAATCTGAATATTCAAATTTCGTCTAATTGCAGATATGTATGATATAATAATAACTTAATTCTTATCTATACACTCAAAAAATAAACCATTAAGAGAATAATAGTCTGAACCATAATTTCAATACGTTAATGACAATAAAGAGTAAACATACGTAATACAACGTAGTTCTACCGTTATTTACAAACACAATGAATGCATTTTAATGCTTACTTTTAATTTCAACTATAGCATAGATGTTCCAAGTTCATTTCTATATTACGAGTTTTTCTAAGATGTAACGCATACTTTTATACTTTTTTTGTATTAGTAAGAAGACAGCTCATCGTAGAATCAGCCAAACCCATCGAATCTCGATGTAAAGACTGTGTGTTCTAACGGAAATTTTACTGTATCTTAGTCATAAATACTAATCCAATTATTTTGCAGCGCCCGGTCTGATAACGAATGTGGTAATTTAATGCCCGATCTGATAGCGAATGTGATAATTTATTGCCCGGTCTAATAACGAATGTGATAATTTATTCTGAGCATTATGTCATGATTTCAAAACAAGTTGTGTCTAGTGTCTTGGACAATATTTTACACAATATGCACACATTACAACACGAACAAACATTTATTGTCTGTTTACAGCCAATGTTCTTTGCGCTTATTTTTAAAGAGAGACCTGTGCATTTTCTTGGGTTTCTAAGAAAAAAAAAATATATATATATATATACTTCATGAAATCAAATTACAAAAAAATAACGAAAAAGGTTAACAGTTGTGCTGCTAGTGCGCCTAGTGAGAAAACGAGGAATCACTATAAATATATGTCGTTGAACTTGCACAATACGAAGCACTATATGAAAACAGTCATCAATAAATTCCATTGATTTCAAGTTTCCAGGATGTTATCGTTTTCTTAGTATCTTTATAAAATCACAGCAAGTTATTGGGGGACAAAGATATTTTCCTGAACTGCTGCATTTAGGGTTCCATACGCACGTTACGTAAAACATCATGGTTAAGAGTTGCTATGGTGGATTAAATCCCAGATGAATTAGATAAATTCCTTCCCAGATATCTTGTTTCAAGCGTTTTACTTTTTTCTTTTAAATTATTCGGCTTTAACTACTGGATTTTTGCTCTGCTTAGTCTATTACATCAAAATTAGGGACAGCTAGTGCAAATTACCCTAGTGTAGCTTTGCGCGAAATGCAACAAACAAATAAACAATACTCTGCACTGCATGTAAATATTTAAATACATTGTCTTCTATTTCGCAAGTTTTTAATTTAATCATTTAAATAAAAGAAAACTAGCTTAATGATGGACAAGATATAAAAGTTTATTATATTATTTCTTCATCTGGCAATGATAAAAGTTTGTGGTCTTGAAATTCTTACTACAGTTAGAATATCCTTTGACTCCTATACCTATTATTGACGAACGACTACTGACAACGGACAATATGTCTATCATGTATCTTTTAGCTTAAGAATAACCTCGATGAAATACAATATTAGGTATGTCTTATTAGATATTCAGAATAAACTTAAGTCAAAGGTAACGCAAACTCTTCATGAAGCCGTTAAACAAATCCTCATATTATTGACATTAGATTGAATAATAAAATCTTTAGAATGTAGCATTTAGAATGTTTGATGAAAATATTTTTGGATAATCAGTTTATGTTTCCACTTTGGTGAAAAGATTGTTGTTGTTTTTACCGACTTATCGATCAGTTTTTGTTCATCTATCGTTTATTAGGAGTATAACTACGCAAACTGAAATCACTAGCGGGAAGTATAAAAACGACTGCTCGGAAAATAAAAAAAAAGGCTAAATCCTTCGGCTAATTTAGAAGTAAAATCCACGAAAACTTCAGTTGTGAAAGTTGCTGTTGTTTGTTTTAGAAAGCTGCACAACGACGTACTTGCTCTGTGGTTGTTGCATGGATTGAACCCTCAATCTTAACGTTATAAGCTTACCGTTGAGCCACCGTTGGCTGCATATGTGAGCAAAGAACGATAATGTCACTAAACTAAATCAAAGAAGCGAAAAAAGCATGCTAAAGTTATACCAAAATCAAAATACTGAACGAAATGTTTTTCTTCTAATATTTGAGGAAAAATGTAATAATCGAAAGAACAGGCTTAAAACTTTACTGGGAGTATCAAAACAAGGTATATACATATGTATAGAAGATAAGAAAAAAAATTAGTTTAAACTTTTAAGAGTCAAATTAAAACTATATTGGGATAAGCTGAGAAAAATAGAAATCAGCGTTTAAAATTTAAAAAGTGGTTCATATAATATAAAATATTATATCAATTAAAGCAGAAAAAGTTTAGGAAACAACCATAACATTAAAGGTTTACGATCAGATGTCTAAAAAAAAAGATAAGCACAAACGAACAAAGCTTGAGCAATACAACGATAAAAACCAGTTTGTTAAAAAGTGGATATAAACGTTCTTTATTCATTAAATGAAAGTTTCAAACGAGAAAAGAAGAGAAAAAAAAGAAGAAGAAAGCCAGAGATAGCATTTAATTAGACATTCATTGTCTTAAAACTTATGTGTGTTAATCCTCAAGTGTTCTTTAACCTTGATAAGTTATCAGGCTTTAAACTTTCTGATTCAATATCCTCTGCAAATGATTAGATTTTCGTATACTTCGAATAACACGCAATTTTATGATGCACCAATTACCTTTTTAAATGACTTCAGGGAGATGAAGTTCACGACAGTAAGTTTCAAATCTGCCTAGATGGCGCAGTAAGAGCTTTTCCAGAGAAAACAACCCAAAATGAAAAAAAAATGCATCATTACATAGAATAAGAAGAGAACAAGACACGAAAGAAAATACTTGGGATAAAATGTACGTAGTAATCAACGTTACACATAAAAACTAATGTGAGAGACAGGTTTGTGTTATTGAAGAGTGAAGGGAAAATGAATAAATGAAAACAATAAACTGAGAAGTGGTGCGACATATAGAGGAAGCTAGCGAAATATTTAACGAGTCACAAATGCATTAATTGGAAAAAAAAACAACTAAGAATAACGAATATAAAATCAATGTTATCACGAAGAAAGTGCTAATGACGACCCCTGAGAGAACGACAAACTAACCAAGAAGAATATAACAGAAACAAAGAACGCGAATATGATGGCAGAGATGAAAAGCGAGGACTATTTAATAGCAGAAGAGGGTATCCAAATTAGCTAGAGAGACAGGAAAGAAATAACTCTCAGCAGAAGTAATGGCTTCTTTATTTGTTCCATTTGTGATTGTTTCTAGATATCTACTAATCACTTGCATACACTAACGAGTGAGAAATTACGGTCAACGTCTTACACCGGCTCGTCTTAGTGTAACTTGTTACTATCTTTACAACTTTAACTCGAAGAAAGGCACTTACTTTTTGTCTTAAGCATCTTTCTATATGTCACTTATATTACCAAGCTTATGGAACCGACTAGATTGTTACGTGTAACAGAAACAGACACGTAGTTTCAGTTTCTGCGCTCGTTTTTGTTAACCGTATTGAGAATTTTTAGTTAAATTCAGTGTAACTGATTATAGTCTGTTAAAGATGAAACAATTCTTGCTGCGATAGTAAAGATATCTTAGGAAATCGATGTTACTGAAGCTTTGTTGTTTGTAACAAAGATTTTTCAATTGAAACCTACAGTTTGGGTGATATCGTTATTGTTTGTAACACATGTATCAACGTGTTTTCAATTTTTAAGTTTTCCTTAAGTTTTATTTGATTATATTAATTGATATACAACTGTTAGAAAATTAGATTTCACTTATATTGAAATATTTCTAATGTCCTTTTTGATACACAAAAATACAAATTACAAGTAAGTACTTTTAGTAATTTTCTGTTTTTTATATTATTTTCATTTTCTAAGTATTTTGATGTAGATTATCCAATTTGATATCAACATAATTATCTGTTTTGTTCGTTTTTTTCAGTTCAAACCCATTAATTTTGAAACTAATTTTCTATTGTCATCTTTACGTTTATTGTTTGTATTGCATGAAACGAAAGAGTTGTTTGCAGTAAATTTTCGTATAGTGTTTTTACGAGGGCTTTTGATCTAAATAAGTCAGTAAGTTGGTATGAATTCTTTTATAACAAAAACGATTGTTACTGTCCAAATTATTTGATGTAATTAGAGATTATTACATATTTAAAAAGAATCACCTTATTTACTTTGTAATTTAATCTAAAGTTCAAATATGTTTGTGCCTTTATCAATGACATAGATTACTGATGTACAGTTAGGTCTGGTACTAATGAATGTTTTAAAACTTTGTTTAATTCTAGTTTCATGCTCTGGTAAGGACTTTCTGAAACAAATCTACATTGTGGAATTTAAAACTTCAAAAAATATAATGTTTGTTTTTTTCACATCTTCAAAACATGAGCTAAGAGCCACAATTTCTATTGAAACATTAGCACCCTCTAGCAGCCTTGTTCAAGGCATGTCCAAAGCATAAAGTACGGTCGTCTCATTTATTTGTAATTATCCGTAACATATTGCAATCAATATTACGTAATTTAAAAATTTTTCAACCTATCTGTTCTCTTGTTTATACATGACCAATTAATCTTTTTCTTCCTTTGAAATCTAAATTTATTTTGTAAACAGTTCTTAATATTGTATACCTATATATAAATATATAATTTTCGTTTGAAACCTTCTTAAGACAAAATATAGTTCTTATATAACACTGATATCCAAATATACGGTTGTCCTCCGTCTTGCATGTGTGACACACTATAACTGATAAATAACAAAATACATATATTAGTATATCGTTAATTTTATGATATTTTTACACACACACATATATATATATATATTAAATTCTAAATCTAATTTTATTTTTTACACCATTCACTAATATTTTCGCATCAGTTCGATCGACCACTCGAAAATATCACGTAAAATATCAAAAAAAAGAAATCTCAGTTTGATATTCCTTACATTTTCTTTAACGCTTGAGTGAAAACAAAATAGCATAATATTTGTGTTCTATTTTTTGTTCATTTACTTTACAAAATCTATAGATCGCAACTAAAACGGAATAATTTCTGAACAAATAAAACGATTCATGCTACCTCATTTATTATTTTCTAAACTCGGTGTTCTAAAACAAAATAAACGTTTTCATTTTTTTTATTAGGTGTAAAGTTAACGTAAGCAACGCGAATTTTCGATAATACAAAATATAACAGATGGAATCACTGATATCAATTCATTCAATAAAGAAACAGAAAGACAAGAATGGATATAGTAGTCAGTTGACGAAATACACTTACATTTTTAAGTCGATTATTTTTATTTTATTAAATAAGTTTTAAAAACAAAATTTCTTTTTTGTCAGATATTTACTTCCACGTCGTGAAAGTGATAGTCTGTTTCCTTGAGTCGTCAACCTTGCTTCTTGGAAATGTTTTGAAATTTTAAAGTCCCCAGTCTCCTCTTTAAGGACAGTCACAGATTTGCCAAAATGATTAACGCTTCATTAAAAAAAAGACCCCTCCCTCAACTTTATTCTGTAAGTCTTGTTTTTGTCTTTTTTTTCATATCTAATGACTAATTTATTACGCTTCTATTGCTTACTGCGTAAAATAACGCAGGAGAAGATTCATAACATTATATCAAGGGTTAACAACCCTTTGTTTAGAAGGAAGTAAAAGGTACAGGGGTGAAAAGCAACCAGGTTGGCCAGAATGTGTTAATTTTCTGTAAATGGTGTATTACTACTATTAAAACTTTAATAACGTGAACTTCCAGCACAAATAACATCACTTGGGCTGCGTAATCAAATCAAAAATCATACTCCATTTGAATGATTTATGCTCATAACATCGCCTGTGTCACGTAAAAAACAAAACAAAAATAAACATACTTCCTTTGAATGTTTGTGCTCATAAGATCACTTGTATTACGTAAAAAAACATACTCCCTTTGAATGGCTATGCTCATAACATCACTTGTGTTACGTAAAAAACATACTCCCTTTGAATGACTATGCTCATAACATCAAAATATCCGTAAAGAGCTGTAACAATTTCGATGACGAGGAATCCACTTTGAGACTAATAATGCTTGGAGACGGCTTGAATGGGTAATGGAGAAAAACTTTAATATAAGTTTAACATAACAGTAAATGTACAACGTTTCGACAAGGTTTTGTAATCATCAGGTACAAGTAGTTTACACTGACACAGATATACATATGCAGTATAGAACAAAGGTGTCACATTACCAGATACTGTTGCAAGACTTAGAAGAGATCTCTTGGCACCCCAGGGTATTGGTTTGAGTAGGGTTGTTTTGTTCAATTAAGATGGATTCTAAATAATTTTTGTTTAGTAACGATTTTAATTTAGGGCCGGGTTTTTGAGAGAATTTGACGTTGACAGGAATATTGTGTTTAATGGCTAGTTTTGTCCAAGTGTGGATAATTCTTGAGCTGGTTTCAGGGACAAAAGGTAAACTGCAATGTGATGTTCTGTTGTTAGGTTTGTTGGTATCAATTTTGTTCGTGAGTTCAGTCTTCTTGTGGGGAATGTTGGAGAGTTTTAACAATAGCTGGTGGAAATTTATTGGTGTGAATGAAGGGATGCTTTATGTGGTTGATTTCTTCATTTATGTAGTTCGTTGAACAGAGTCTTGTGGCTGTGTTTATGAGGTTTTTGAGTGTATTGATTTTTTTGTGTGGTGTCATGAGCGGAATTCCATGGGATGTAGAGGCCGTGTGTGTATTCTTAGATTGAAATTTGGTTTTAAACTGTGTGTCCGATCTAATAATGTTGAGGTTAAGAAAAGATAACTGTTTATTGTTTTCGTGTTCTATGGTAAATTTGATGTTGGGATGAATGGAATTTATATGTTCAAAGAAAGTTAGTGTGTGTGTGTGTGTGTGTTATATAGAAGTGAAACCAGCAAAAGTGTCATCGACATATCTGTACCAGTATAGTGGGGGATGAAGCGCAGAATGTATGGCTTGTGTTTCGATCTGGGTCATGAATATATTGGCAAGAACGGATGAAACAGGATTGCCCATACATAAACCATCTATTTGAAGGAAATGTTTGTTGTTGAAAATGAAGTTGGTTTTAGTTGTTGTAAATTCTAAGAGAGAAGCAAAAAGTGTGCTGGGGATGTGGATTAACTTGTTGGGGTCATTAATTTAGAGGTCGAGTGCAATATTACAAGCTTCATTGGTGGCGGAGACTTCGGTGAAGAGTGACACGACATCAAAACTTGCCATTAAGGCTTTCGAATTTAGTTGGTCTAATGTATATTTGAATATGAAGGCATCTTTAAAAAATGAACCTGTAGATGTTACATATGGTGTGAGAGCCCAAGCTATGTATTTGTCAAGGTTGTAGTTGAAGGAATCATAAGTGGACAGTATAGGTCGTAGGGGGCAGTCCTGTTTGTGTGGTTTAGGAATGCCATAGAGTTGTGGTATGCGTGAATCAGTTTTACATAGATAAAAATAAAGATCGACAGTAATTAAATTATCTTTTTTCATTTGTAATAAAGTTCTGTTTAGTCGTTTTTCGTGTGTGTTTGTTGGGTTGTTTGGGATGGCTGTGAATTTATTTTTATCGGAAAGGATGTTGTTCATTTTGTCGGTGTATTCTGAAATGTTGTATTCTAAGTCTTGCAACAGTATCCGGTCATTTGACTTCTTTGTTCTATACTGTATATATATATATATATCTGTGTCAGTGTAAACTACTTGTACCTGATGATGACAAAACCTTGTCGAAACGATGTACACTTGCTGTTATGTTAAACTTATATTAAAGTTTTTCTTCATTACCCATTCAAGCCGGCTCTAACCATTATTAATCTGTAACAACTCTCTCTTTTTTTTTCAAATGTGACAAATGTTGTTTTCAACTACTTTTCAGCAGTGATTTTGTTTTATAAAAACTAGGAGTGAACTTTGCATAATTTAAGAAAAATCACTCTATAATATTTAGTGCTTTTTGAATTTCGTGAATATAAAAAACTTCAGCATTAGTATTATCAACGAAACAACTTTTATTTTAGGAAAATATTTTACCTTGTATTCTGTCCCCAGTGGCTCAGCGGTAGTTTGAGAGCTCACATCGATAAGGCCAGGTGGTTAGGGTGCTCGACTCGCAATATGAGGGTCGCGAGTTCGAATCCCCGTCACACCAAACATGCTCGCCCTTTCAGCCGTGAGGGCGTTATAATGTGACGGTCAATCCCACTATTCGTTGGTAAAAGAGTAGCCCAAGAGTTGGCGGTGGGTGGTGATGACTAGCTGCCTTCCCTCTAGTCTTACACTGCTAAATTAGGGACGGCTAGCGCAGATAGCCCTCGTGTAGCTTTGCGCAAAATTCAAAAAACAAACAAACAAACACATCGATAAAAACCAGGTTTCGATACTCGTGGTGGTGCACAGCACAGATATACCATTATGTAGCTTTCTGCTTAATAAGGAACACATTTTCATTCTAATTATTTCTTACTAGAATATTCTCTTACCTTTACCAAATGTAAAGAAGACGAAATATTTTTATTAACCTTCAAATTACCGATTTCTTTGTAAGCCATACACTGACGGTGTGATTCTACGTATTCAGTAATTTTATGCTTTTACGTGTTACAAAACTCAATGTGTAAAGAAGTGATAAAAAATATACGGGCAAAATCACTCTCTTTTTTTTTCATGTAAAATACATTTGTAACCAGGCATGGGTAATTTTGTACATAAACAGTTAAAAAAAAGCCGATGGGGTAGGAACCGGATCGGTAAATCACAGACTAATTAACTCGCATTTTAAGTAATACATTAAAAATAATGCACACAGCTTCTTACACAAGTCTAGAACAAGGCTTAGCCATAAGAACATCCTGCTTAGTTCCGAAAGTCTTGACTTCTAGAATTATCTAAATTGTTACATTTCACGTTGAATGTTATATTTCATTAGAGAATGTTAGTTATAAAATCAGAAACAGATTCTTGTAGAAGCGGATTGTCTGCGTCTCAAATTCAGCGTACTTAGCTGACTATATAGATGAGCACGTACTGGGAATGAAACAGTTATGTCACTATAATGCTTTAATTGTCTTGTAGCTGATAATGTCTCATGCAGCACAGAGGCAAAGAATTATCTCGTTTATTTCTTCAGCATAACAGCTGTGATATGGAAATAGCATAAATGCGATGTAAACATCCTAACGTGAGATTATCGCTGAGTAATACGGCAACTTTATCTCATAACTGAAAATATGTATGTTCTATTTACATAAACATATGCAAGCAGAAAGTATACATTTAAAATAAAATTTCGCATGTATAATTATAAGCTAACACGAGGCCATACTAATATAATAGACTTAAATATGTCGATGTTATGGCTGAACATAGGCAAGCAGAAAGTATATATTTAAAACGAAAATCTCTATATATTATTATAGGCTAACACGAGGCCATATTGGTATAATAGACTTGAAGAGTGTCGATTTTATGGTTGAGTAATATTTATTCAAGAAAACAGGTCCGCTGTCTATTCACAAAATTAACTTTTTTTCGACTGTTACAAAATAAAACACCTACATTCCAAGCACTATTTTGCTTTGTTAATGCTTCAAATTTCCGTTATTCAGAAATAGTTGTTCTGTTTCGTTGTTAAACACAAAGTTACACAGTGGGCTATATAACTAGGTTTTAGCGTTATAATCCTTCAGACTTAACAGCGAGCCACTAGGGGGGCTTCATAAATAAAGTTTTATAGATTGCATCTACATAATATTTGAACAACAGACACGTTTATCTATAATAGTTGTATTTGTAGTATCTATGAAAGAAAATTTGTGTTTACTCTGAAACTTGGAGAGTCTACCCTGTTGCTATTACTAATATAGAAGGTAGTAGTAGTAGCAATAGCTTCGTAAGTAGGATAGGCGCTTCAGAACTTCTATATTAGTAGTATTAGTAGTAGCAATAGCTTCGTAAGTAGGATAGGCGCTTCAGAAAACTAATATAGAAGTTCTGAAGCGCCTACTCTACTATTGCTACTACTACTACTACTACTACTACTAGTATAGAAGTTCTGAAGCACCTACTCTACTTACGAAGAGTATAGTTTGGCGAATTGTGACTTTTATGCCATGAAAATAGTCCTTTATAGATAAAATAAAGGAAAGAATTGCTTTTTTGACCCGTTATTTTGTCACGTGTATAACCTATAATAATCACATAGTTGTTTTTTATTTTTTACAAGTTATTTTTGGTTCCCAAGTGAAGATTACGTTTTGGTTAAGTGTTGTATACTAACCAAAGAATGTTTTCGAAATACTTATATTCCAAGCTTCATCTCAACTTTTTTTTTACTGTTCTTTCTTGGTCTTTGAAGTCGTTGCTCTGTCTACTGAGACTTATTTAAAATTTACAACGTGTGTGTATGTATACACCATAATCTTCAATGTAATAAGTTTCACAAATTTCACACTTAATGAACCACGAACTAATTTATAAACCGCAACTGTCTTTTAGAGCAGCTCGTTGCATGTTTTAAAAGTACTGACTAAACTTGAGTAACTTTTATTATATATAATTAAGAAAACTGAGAGTTAGAATTATTTTATTGGGTTACTTTAAGTTAAAAGTTGTAGTATTCCTGACGCGTGTGATAAATTACTAAATAATGCGCAAAATGTTTTTTATGGCACGTTTGAAAATCTATTTATTTATTCGTTTTTAGTAAATGCTTGTGAATTTAATATATTAAGTTACGACTACAATTGGTTTGTAAATCAATATATGTTTTGTTATGTGGATCGTGGTGTTTAACTAGTTGTGATACTATGGATGACATAAAACATCTGATACTAAATCTCTACAAAATTATGTGAAAATGCAAGTTAACTTACGCAAGAAGGCAGAAAAAGCTTATTACATTTTAAATATTATAAATAACTTTGTCCTCGAAAGTATGAAACAACACCTCAATAACTAGAGTCTGTCATTAGTTCCTATGCCTTCATGAAAATGACAAAAATCACAATTTTTCAGTTCTCTGAAAACTCTTGCTTAAAATCTCTGTCTAATGAGCTCAATAAGTGAGTCACTTGTTCTCTCCCGAAACTATGAATTAACACTAAAACTACCCCAAAAATATTGTTGTTATTCTAAACCTCAATATCAGGCCAACACTCTAAGTACTCAGAAGGATACACAATTCATCTCTTACTCATTTATAAAGAAAATATAATAAAAATGTTCTTAATGGTTCTTAAACATTTATACATAAAATACACACGACATATATACACAAAAGTTTTAGCCTTCAAAACCCTATTCAGTATAATACTAATTTATGAATTGTATTGTTGTTAAACAGTGTTAGTAACAAAGCAGCTGTTAGGAGATCGCTGATTTTGTCTCTGGCCTTCAATATTGGTTCATTGTGTCCGAATATTACTTGAGACTGGTTAAAATATTTGGTAACGTTTCTTTAAAAAAAAAGGAAAGTACTAAAAGCCGCCATAGCTTCACAGTGCAGCAAAAACAACCTAAAACGTAATCAGCTAGACTAAGCTAAATTACATTGTAATCAGCTAGACTAATCTAAGTTACATTGTAATCAGCTAGACTAAGCTAAATTACATTGCGTTGAGATGTATAACTTTCATATCTTATTCATTAAGAAATTGGAAATCACAAACACATGCCCCCAAATGGCTATTTTACTATGGTATATGCACACAAACACGAGACCCTATAACCCGAGCGCTTTCGAAAGGTGGATTTTTCTTCAACAGTTTGCCCCTGATCATATTATTAATCAGCTTATTTCTATATTCTTAAGGTAGCAGAAAATGCGTTAAAATATTAATGTAAAACGTTTTCTAATTCTTCAGGTGGATAATTACAACCGTACTTTACATGTAGGGTTTTTGACTTGTATTTCACTCTCACCACTCGTCACTTAAGTCTGTATAAATATCCCAAGAATAAGTAGCATTAAGGCTGCTAGTTTACTCTTCAGCGAACAAGCTGTTTAAGATAATGTTCATTTTTTTCTATCATTTACAAAACCGTGAATATTGAAAGGAAAGATAGGTGAGACCCAGTCTATTCTTGGATTCGCCACCTACTGTTAGTAGACTATTTCGTGTAACTCCATCTCTCATTCGTAATCGCGGACAACAGCAAATCGACCAGACTTCTTACAGTCGTAGACCGAAGTTTATGATTCTCGTTTCTGAGTTGCTCTTTATTCACAACAAGTAATCTATATTCATATAGGTTTTTGAAAAAATACTTAACTCTAATGATAGTCGTTTAGTATCCTAAAGCCTCAAACGGAGAAGTTGTTTCTTTCTCCCTAAAATATATCGTTACCAAACTTTTTTCGTTAAAAGTTTGGGAGAGGGTTAGTTTTACACTTTAGTATTGTGTATTTAAATCTCAAAAATTACGTTTTTAATGTATTATGTGCAAATGATATATCAATGTATGCAGTTACAATATAAGATTTTTTCTCTTTGTTTGCATATATCATTCAGTGGTAGGTTTTATAAACAAGGCTCTCTAGGTTTAAAGAACAAAGTCATAAGAGAATAACAGAGACATACGTCTATGTTATTCTATTATGATTTTGTTCTTTTTTATGGGCATCGTAAATACATTTCCAACACATGTATTTCAGAAATGCATGCTATATATATATGTATTTATTCAAAGATGGACACCAAGTATTGCATATTTTTGTTTACACTGTTATGGTTTAAACTAAATAAAATAATATAATCGGCATATCGTAATACATATGATTCTACACATAAGAAAACTAAACTAGAATATACGACCATTCAGCATATATTAATAAACATCAAAATCAAACGGGTTAGTCTAATTACTGATATATAATAAAAGTAAATATAATGGAAAACTTAACTCGATCAATAAAACCAACAACGATGGAAACTTCATGTTTAAAGTCTACTATATTTTCTTTGTAATATGTTTGAAGCAACTAAATGAATTTGTGAATACCAATAGCAAATTCATTTTATTTTCCATTTCTAAATAGACATGTAAAGCCGTCAGTACATTTATGAAGGCCTTTAGATAACACTAGCAATTTTAAAGGTTACCAATAACATTGAGAGATATACTTAGGCCTTAAAGAACATTTTTGAAATACTGAATATAGAAGATAAGGAAGTACATGGTTGGAGAAACTGGGAAGTATCATGTTTAATAAATCTAGAAGTACCACGTTTAGCATATTTGAAAGTATCACGTTTAGTAGATCTGGAAGTATTACATTTAGTATATCTGAAAGTATCACGTTTGGTAGATCTGGAAGTACCATGTTCAGTAGATCTGGAAGTATCACTTTTAGTAGATCTAGAAATACCATGTCTAGTAGATCTGGAAGCATCACGTTTAGTATATCTGGAAGTATCACGTTTAGTATATCTGAAAGTATCACGTTTGGTAGATCTGGAAGTACCATGTTCAGTAGATCTGGATATGTCATGATTAGTAGATATGGAAGTACCATGTTTAGAAGATATGGAAGTACCACATTCAGTAGATCTGGATATGTCATGATTAGTAGATATGGAAGTACCATGTTTAGTAGATCTGGAAGTACTATGTTTAGTGAATCTGTTATAGAAACAACATATTTGAGAAGACATCATACCATACATTTGAACATTTAGTGGTAAAAAGTCGAGAGAGTAAAGTAATTCCAAATATTTAATATAATTTAATAACTATGAAGTGTAACTGCTGTATTTCACGAATTTTGATTTAATTGTTAGATAAGATTATATTATTTTTAATATAAGCATCTTCCTAGCTTATTATCTCTATAATTCTTAATTATGGGTGTGTTTGTTTGTTTGTTTGTTTTGGAATTTCGCGCAAAGCTACACGAGGGCTATCTGCGCTAGCCGTCCCTAATTTAGCAGTGTAAGACTAGAG